GTAAAATAGACTAAATGTACCTGAAAAATTTAAGTTTTTTCTTATTGCATTTGTATTATTGTTTGTCATGTCCATCTTAGATCTTATTTATAATAACAAAGGAAAATTATATAATATATATATATATATATATATATATATATCATTATCATCAATTAAAATAAAATAATAAAATAAAATAACTCACATAGTGAAATAAGATGTTGGTCATATCGCCCACCCCAACAAGACATGCATGTTAAATGAATTAAATCTACTTTCAATTAATCACATAAATCAATATTTGTTAGGAAAATCCCCATATGAAGATAATTTGATAATTTTACTACATTAAAATGTTAAACTGACAGCTCTGAACCAAGTATAATAAAATTCACCAGACATACAACATTGCCAGCATGTATTCTGTACATTTTCTGTACATTTGATTCTACTTACGGTATTTTCTTTGAGTATGCAATTATTCAGTATCCCAAAAGGCTACTTTCTACTATTGTAAAGGACTATCAATTTCTAGAAGTGGTTGTGGAAGAAAGATAATGTAGACTGAATGCATCTCAATGGCCATAGGTTGATTGTTCGGATGGCAAGTAGAATAACAACCTGCAAGCGAACTGAATTTGCCGGACAACTGAATCCTCTCTTCTGACAAACATGTCAAAAGATAAATCACGTCTCCTGAAGAAGTGATGACTAACAGATGAGAATATTGTGCAGTGAAGCATGCTGACAAAAATTATTTCGCATTGTGCATTATGAGTTATGCTAAACCTGGGGTGCTTAAAATCCCTCAGCATTTAATATTTAAAGAGCTGAATCTTGTTTTGTCATAATACAGACATCTTACAAAAAAACAAAAGATGTCAGCTTCACACCACAGCCTACTTCTCTAAGGGACCCCAGGATGCAGTCTGCTGCTTTGTGATCTCACACAGATACAGTTTCTCAGCAAACAAGTGTTGGAGATATGACAGACCGAAGGGAGAAGCGCACAGAAATGCAAGTAATTTGGCTTTGGGCGAGGTGGCTGAGCTTCTTGTGTCGATGTCATGACAATGTTTTGTCGACACCCTACCAGTACACCCAGTGTCCACCAACCCAGATTTCTCCCTCCCAGCCCTGAGGGAAATGTACCTTATTCAGTTCCTCTATTCGCCTGATCAGATAAGGGTTGCTTGAAGAATTCTCAAAGAAGACATAATCTGCAGAACAAGATAAAAAGCACTGGATTATTTTATCAATATAAAAACCACATTTTCGGGATTGGCGGACAGTTAAAAGTCTTAATATATTCACATTGCATAAAAACAGTGCATCTCATTATCCTTGGTATATTAAAAATGTTCTATTACATATGCAATCTATCAACCACAGCACATTTCCTATATGTGGAAATTTTACCAAATACAGAACTGTTTATGATGTGAAATTTGGTTTAGATACAGTTCAAAACAATACAGTCTACTGGGGCCAGATGTAACTGGTTACCATAGTTCATTCATTTACTATAGAGGGAAATGAAAATTGTCATCATAACTGCTGGGCATTTAAGATAAGAAAACCCTAACCAAAAAGTATTTTTAGGTAAATGGTCTCTCCCTCACAGACTGAAATAATGGGTAATGAATAAAGTATTCATAAAGTACAAGGTATTAAAGATAAAACTACTTTTTGAATCAAGTAATACCTCCAATACTTATGTTTAGATAATGAAAGAAATTCCTAGAGCATTTTATAACGCACTACTGGGTCTGGTTTATAAAAAATACCCTACAACATACAGAAACTATGAGTCTAAGACTTTAGAATTGGCCTTGGACTGATTTTAAGTAATGAATTGTTTATGTCTGGTATACATGTAGAAAACACTTTCTCTTAAAGGCAAGATGAAGATGAAGAATATTCTATTGCATGCTTGCAAACAAACACTTAATTCATGCTAACAAGCGTATTCTGTTTTTGGCCATACGAGTCACATTCCGATACATGTATCTACGGCATAACCGAGCACACACAAGGAAAGGGTCACATTAAAACCGTGCAATGCAATAATTTGTCACATAGACGCTCCATTCAAACGTCTGCTCAAGCTGTAAAATCATTTTAAATGGCACTGCATTAACGGCGCCATGAAACAATGTCAAATTCCGCGGCGTGTAGCCGGCTAATTGCGCAAACAAACGACGGTTTTGTATTAAAACGTGTTTACGATTAGACGCATGACAACAAATACATTTCAAAATAGTGCACATTCACAATGTTTCAGCGAGTAAGTGTGCAGAAGTTCACTGTGGTTTCTCTGTGGAAAACCGAGTGAGGGGTTGCTGTTAAATGCTAGCTCGCTTTGCTACCTTGCATGCCGATTGAGGACCCGTAACTAATGGATACGTGCCAAAAAATGAGACAAATGATCACAAAGAAACGCATCGGCGTCAAAAAATCGGCATGGCTAGGTCGCAAGCACAACTCGCTTTTCTCCTGTAAGATCAAAGCCGAAAGAAGCGTGCTCTATATACGTGTTTCCGTGTGTTTTACATATAGTAATGCTTATTTGTTTATGAGGTGGCTAGCTAGCAACATAGCCTGCTTGCTAAAATGCTAGTGCGGCTATGATAGTTTAAGAGGCCTGACCCACATCAGAACCCAAAATATTCTGCATCCACGTTATCGCTTTCTTTTGCAAGGACACTGCACGTGTTAAGAGTTTAAAAGTGAGCGGCCGGTTGCGGCAATTCCGTTGAAACGAGCCCCTGCCTCCCAGACCCAGACAGGTCTTGCGGTGGTGCCTGTGTTTTGACTTGCGTTAATTCAGAATATAGACGGACATACCTCCGACCCGGTACATGTTGGCCGCCATTTCTGCCCTCCCGGAGTGTTAAAAAAACCAAACCATAAACTAAAATAAAAACAAAATAAATATGTGAATCAAAACGACATCTACGTCCTGTGACCTGTTAAAAAGCAATCTGGCTTAAGATGTTTTAAATATGGGGCATGAACCTCTGTAAGAATAAGAGATTTTTTGCAGCCCCCCTCCCGAGATTCACAGTACAATACAGTAACTCACTCACGCACTAGAAAAGGCTCGAGCGCAGCGGCTTCCTGATGATGAGAGAGGAGAGAAAAGAGGGAGGGAAGGAGGAGGGTGACTCAACGTCTACAGACTGCACCCTCAACTTGGCACTCATGCCCGTTTTACACAGCGCTTCAAATTAAACTTGGTTAATGTATTTTTACATACTTACTTACTTTAGTATTAAAATATTTATATAACTTATTTTTAAGTAATATTTAAAATAAACCGTTTTAGACTGTAATGTTTGCCGGTGTAAATCTTTTTACTATGACAATAAATATTTTAAAGAGTTTTACTCTGGGTATATTCTTGATACAACATTTAAAAATATTTAAGATAATAAGATAAAAGACAAATCTAAGATCATTTCAGTAACGAATCAGTGAGTGAGTGAGTGAGTTGTTCGAATCATTAAGACTTCATGTCTTCATGATTCATGAACCGATTCAGACCTGGTAACCTGTTGGAATGATTTGGATCAAAAGACCGATTAATTCACTCTTTTTGCATTCTGATTCATTCATTGAAAAATTATAAATGTAAATTCAACTTGGTTAATGTGCATTTCTTTAAAACATCATATTAAAATAATAAACATCGTTTAGCCGAATAATAGGCTAGGCTATTTGCCAATGCAAATATTTTTACCATGACAATAAATAAAAACGCCTGATACAACATTCCTGATACAACATTAAAAATATATATAATAAGATAAAATACAAAAAAAAAAAAAAGATAAGTAATGATTCGAATCAGAATGAGCTCTTCGAATTATTCAGACTGAATCACGAACCGATTCAGACCTGGGCTGCGTTCAGCCATGACAAAAACGGTGCAAAACGCTTTTTAAACGGAAACGGTGGTGCGCTGAACACCCTGTTCTGATGACGCAAGAGTTGCAACTATGGCAGCTGAGAAGGCCATTCTTTGTGTTCTTTTTGAAGAATTTTCGGAGCCTGCTGAAATCGGTATAAATACGTGTTTAATACTGCAAAATACGCTCGATGGTACAGTCATTGCCCTTGCCGTCCAGAATAAAAGAGAACATCCCAATCAAATGAAGGGATTTGTGCATCTTCGGAACATTACATTTACATTAAAATTCCTGAAATTACATTGTGCGAGCTGTCTCTTTAATACCGCGTGGTTTACATACAATTTTCTGCTGATTGGGCTGACATGCTTGACACACACACCAAACAAGAGAAAACGCATCTCAAACCCCGTTGCACACCGTTTCCAGGAAACATGTCGTTCAAACCGGAAACCGTAGCAAAACGGTGCACACCGGTTTGAGCTTGAACTTGCCCCTGGTAACTTGTTGGAATGATTCAGATCAAAATAGTTATTAATTCACGCCAGTCGACTGAAAACACAAGACTCACGACTTTATTGCTGAAAATTACACAGAGAAAATCATTAAAGGCAATAAAATAGTTTAGCTAGGCCTACTTGAATGCTAGCTTACATGATTTACAAAAACGCTACATCCAAGAGAGCTAATCGCTAGAACAACACTGCTGGCCTGGATCAATCTCTAATTTTAGTTTAGGGTGTGGGTAGACAACCAATAGGAAAAAAGCGTCCAATATTGATTTCAATATTGAACATTTAACTCCGTCCAACGTGACGTCCTCCTGCTCTACTCCACTGCCAACCAGAGAGATGTGAAATCCAGCGAGTTCACTTGTTAATCCCAGGCATGAGTCGTGGAAAAACTCGTTTTGCGTTTGGGAACGTCCGTTCTTCTGGAGCGCACAATCGAGCGCAATAGGCTTGTCGATCTGTGACATCACTGTATAAAACAGCCCACTGAAGGCTGGAGTTTAGATGATGCACAAAGCAAGAAGTCACTTTTCCACGGTTCTCCTAACTGACACGCGCTTAATCTGGAAAAAAAATCCTTTAAAAATCTGGCATAGCCTACTGAGTTGGACTCGCGAGTTTGGAGCTGTTTGTTTTTTCTCGTGCTTACCGAAACATACTGGATTTTAACTATGACTATCATTAAGCCATATTGTGCGTCGTTTCTCTCTTTTTCACTCGAATCGGTGATGCAAATCTGATCCAAAATGAAGTTTGGGAAGAATATATGCATCCTAAACGTTGGTGGCACCAAGTATGCTTTCACTAGAGAAGTTATAAAGGATTTTCCCCTCCGAAGAGTGAGCAGACTCCACAGCTGTTCCTCTGAAAAAGAGGTCTTGGAGGTATGTGATGATTATGACCGAGAGAGGAACGAGTTTTTCTTCGACAGGCACTCCGAGGCTTTTGTCTTTATTATGCTTTATGTGCGATCTGGAAAGCTCAGGTTTGTCCCGCAGATGTGCGAGCTTTCCTTTTACAACGAGATGATCTACTGGGGTTTGGAGAGCTCACATTTGGAGTTTTGCTGCCAACGACGATTGGAGGATAGGATGACCGACACTTACACGTACTTTTCAGAGGAGGACATCAAGGCTGAGGTGGAGTCCAGAGGTGAGGAGGATCAGGTCACCAGGTTCGCCTCCGAGAGAGGTAACGCGCGGTGGCTGGAGAGGATGCGGAGGACTTTTGAGGAACCAGCTTCCTCTGTCGCTGCGCAGATCCTGGCATCAGTGTCAGTGGTTTTTGTCATCATGTCTATGGTCATCCTCTGCGCGAGTACTCTACCGGACTGGGATACAGCAAAAAACAATACAGTGGAAGAACACAGGTACATGCACGAATTCAACTTCTGTGGTCTGTGGTATAAATGCAAAATTAGCTGCATCTCTCACAGGACAGCTCAGCTTTATGAGCATGCCTACCCTCCATAGCTCCATAATAGAAGGAATCACGCTCTTCTCCATATCTCAGAATGAGAATGTTGTGATGGTACAAGTTTGTCCCCCTGAACTTGTCTGTCTGTATAATTCATTGCTTTGCGATGGAGCAAACTATCTTTTCTCAAAGAAAACTGAAAGCAAAAATGAAATTGAAGTTCAACTGGTCTTAATAAGTGTATTACACTGCATTGACACATTTTCTCTGTTTAGAGAAAATTAGAGAAATGCTTATAAATGAACTGGACTCCCAAAACATTTAAAATGCAAGGATATTGCATCAACATCAAGACTGTGAACAGTAATAATAGAATAGAATAGAACACAACAGAATAATTTATATCTGCAATGATATTAATAATACAGCCGAGTTTTTTTATTTTATTTGCTTTTTAAAATGTATTACAGTAAAAACAGTATTAGCATTGGGGAAAACTTAAATTTCAGCAATGTCCATATGGTGATAATTCAAGTTGAAGCCTGCAAATAGTAACGATGGTGATTTTTGTTTTCTAGCTGACGTACTTCGTCTGGCCAGTAGACGTCGCTAAAATAATCTAACGTCAGCAAGAGTATAGGGGAGACCTGGCTGGGAGTGTTGTAGGCTAACACATTTCGTTTCAACGTCTGTAACTGTACGAGGTTTTTGCGCAGTGTGGCTTAAACTTTGATGTAATAATCTATAATTTGTCTGCTACAACGACAAAGATAGACACAGAAGTCTACTACATACCCTCAGCTGTGCAAATTAATATTGTAACGTAGAGAGTGTTGACGTTACGATCTTCCTCACTATAGAAATGTTTTTAACACTTTTTGAAATGGAGATTTTATATTTGGCCATGCACATAATAACTTGTTTAAAATAATTATGTGAAACATCTATAAAAATAGGCTGAACGTGTTGTAAGTCATTTGCTTAATTTAAACGGTAGCCAACCATTCTGTGTAGCCTAATCTTTGTGGGTGAAAAGTAGCGTTACAAACCCTTTTCATCTCTTCAGACAAGATATTTCTATTTTTAATGAAAAGCTTGTGTGGTTACCTATATATCAAATTAAACAACAGAACCTACTGAGCATACACATTGTGACATTTTACATTCATTAACATAATCGCAAATCAAATTACAATCCAGATGAAAACAATTTCATTACCTCAAAATTGTTTTCTGCCCTTGGGCCCATTATATTTTTACAAACATACTCAAAATGTCTTCTGTTTCCTCAGGAGGTTGATGATTTCACCCCTGTAGCCCAATTGGTTAAAGTGATGCTGTTACGACACTCTTTTCGTCCCAGAACTCTCACCAGTCTCCCCTGCATTTAGACCTGTTAAGAAATTATTACAATGAGATTTCCATATTCAATGCAGGCATTTTATCGACATCCAAAGCAATCGTGACATATACTCTCCATCAGAGATTAAAAATTCCAGTCATGTTTTCATGTTCTCTGTTATGAGTCACATTGTCATTTTGGGTATTCCCTTGTCCCCATCTCTCTCTGTCTGGAAGTATTTGTGAGTAGGTTTTTCTTTATGTATCCAGTGCAGTCTTGATTCCTTTTCCCACAGTGACCACTGTTTGTCTCGGGGTTCAGGTATGTGTTCTCATATGTGTATGACGAGCTGGTAAGAGATGGAAATAAACCCAGTGAGGTTTTTCATGCATGCAGTCTTATATTCCAGAAATGGATCTCATTCCCTTGTTTTATATATATATCTTTAAATGTCTGTTCATTCGTTGCCTGTAAAGCTCCAGATGTTTAAATGTATAGTTTTTATGTTCATCATGCCTTCTGAGGATGATTATAGCATATATGCATTCGTTGTTAACCCAGCATTCGTGGGCACATGTACATATATTATCACATCTTCACTTAACAATAATTCTTCTTGGCTCTATTTGCATGCCTTCCTGCCGAAACAGCTGTCCTCACTGTAATTCTAAGTCTGCCACGGCTCTTTATAAATTTGATTTGAACAGTACCATAAAACCATTCAGAATGAAAGAGCAAATTTCAGGGCAAAATCTTTTGTAGATGCAGCCTTTCAAAACAATGATTTCTTAGTTCAAATATTGTATTGAATATGCACTCAATTATATGAATAAAAAATCAAATATAATGGGATTTCTTTTGCACCAGAAGTTCAAAGACTACTGAGCAAGTGTATCTTCCTGCCTTTTAGCTTCCATAGACGCTGACACTTCACTGTCAACAACACACTGGAGCTGTTTACACAATCTGAATGAGAGGACATTTTCCACATAAAGCACATTAACTGTATGGCTGCATGGAATCTGATCTAAATACTTTGCATGACTTGTTTACTTACAATAACAAAACAATAACATAATTTTTCAGTAAAACGGAAGACTACTCAGCACCATTTTTTAGTGGTTATTATTATTATTATTATTATTATTATTATTATTATTATATTCATATTCACTGGTAATATTCATGGACATGTTTGGTACAGGAATATTCTGGGTTTAATAGAAGTTAAGCTGAATTGAAAGCACTTGTGACATAATGTTGATTATCACAAAAAAATTATTTTGATTTGTCCATTGTTTTCATTAAGTTGTAAGTTGTAAAATTGGATATAAATTCACACTGTCAAAAGGTTAATAAGAAAAATGCATATTGTTTATGTTTTTGAAACAGCAAGTATTTTGATGTTAATGGATTAGTCTCATTCTCTCGTTTTTCAATAATAATAATGTATTTTTTTACATGACATCTTTAAAGTGAGCTTTAGAAGGAGCCAAAACAGAAAACATAAAACAAAAACAAACAAAAAAAACTAAATTAAACAGACTACAAAAGTTTGGAATAATTACGATTTTAAATGATTTTGAAAGAAGTCTCATCTCATTAAGACTGCATTTATTTTATCAAAATACAGTACAACATTAATATTGTGAAATATTATTACTATAAAAAAACCTGTTTTCTATTTCATTATATTTTAAAATGTCATTTATTCCTGTGATGGCAAAGCTGAATTTTTAAGAAGCCATTACTTCAGTCTTCAGTGTCACATGACCCTTCAGAAATCATTCATTAAGAAGTTTAGAAAAGGAGGAACAAGTGAAAGTTATTTTTTGTAGTAATCAACATAATGCCACACATACTGTCAGTTGAGCTTATTTACATGCACCCAGAAATTATAATTGTGATCATATCTCTCTTATACTCTCTAACTCTCTCTTTTTAATTTTCTCCCCATCTCTCACAGGATCATCGAGGCAGTATGCATTGGCTGGTTCACTGCCGAATGCATAGTGCGCTTCATTGTCTCACGGGACAAATGTGAGTTTGTGCGCCGCCCCCTTAACATTATTGACTTCCTGGCGATCACACCTTACTACGTGTCTGTCGCTGTGACAGCGCTAACAGGAGAAAACCCTCAACTACAGCGTGCAGGAGTCACCCTGCGTGTACTACGAATGATGCGCATCTTTTGGCTAATCAAGCTGGCGCGTCACTTCCTCGGGCTGCAGACGCTTGGGCTGACGCTGCGCAGGTGCTACCGCGAAATGGTCATGCTGCTGGTGTTCGTCTGCGTCGCGATGGCGATATTCAGCGCCCTGGCACAGCTGTTGGAGCACGGCCTTGACCTGGAGACTAGCAATGAGGACTACGCCAGCATCCCGGCAGCCTGCTGGTGGGTTATTATCTCCATGACGACCGTCGGCTATGGAGACATGTACCCCATCACCATTCCGGGACGCGTGCTGGGTGGCGTGTGCGTTGTGAGTGGCATTGTGCTGCTGGCTCTGCCCATTACCTTTATCTACCACAGCTTTGTGCAGTGCTACCATGAACTCAAATTCCGCTCAGCACGCTGCGTGCGAAGTCTCTCTTCTGAGTTTCTCAACTAACTGTAGCATAGATCGTCCTGAGAACCTGCTGGTCTTCAGCGTAGTAACATCACCTGCTCTTCTGTGCCTTTATATTGAACCAAGATCGGAAATATAGCGAAGGAACGCGCTACATCTGATGTGGAAAAATCAGCATTTAGACTCTCTTTGCGAACCTATTATATCCAAATAATAACACAAGTACCTCTGTACTCAAGGATACATTCTGGAATTCATTGATTTTAGACAATACAGGCATCTGAAGCAATTTCTGACTTACAGAATAAGACAAAAGAGACAAATCCCCAGCTCAAAGCTGGAAAGTGCACAATAAAGCATTACAATCCAAAGGAAATACTTTAGCCAATGTTTGTGTTGTAAACCCCTTCCTGTGTGAACGAACAAAACCGATAGAACAGCATTTCCCTTGTATGAAATGGACAACTGTGGCATTTGACGACTACAGATGGCCAGGCTGCCTGGAACGGGCATCTGGCGGGACCTTGTGTCCTGACAGTGCTCCAGCCTATAAGGAGCTTACATGAATTCTCATGTTTCCATGGAGAGGTCCCTCCGACTTGTTAAATCATTAATTCAGCTCCCAATAAAGTGGTAAAGCAAGAGGAACTAAAGTGAAAGGTTTTAAAATGGCCAAATAGCGCAAATACTGTGAAAAGGCCTGCTCACACTAAGAGCGGTAACTGTCATAATAACAATAAAGATAAGTCCCCCTGCAGCCACTAATTTTATCTCTTAAAACTCCTTTTTAATAGCAAAATTATAATTTTTCTCCATGAAAATTTTATCTTTAAATGGCTTGAATATAACTCTAAACGCTTAACTCATTTAGTGTATTTGACCACAAAACCAGTCATAAGGGTAAATTTTTCGAAATTGAGATTTATAAATCATCTGAAAGCCGAATAAAGAAGCTTTCCATTGATGTATGGTTTGTTTGGATAGGACAATATTTGGCCGAGATACAACTATTTGAAAATCGGAAATCTGAGCGTGCAAAAAAAATCAAAATACTGAGAAAATCATCTTTAAAGCTGTCCAAATGAAGTCCTTAGCAATGCATATTACTAATCAAAAATTAAGTTTTGATATATTTATGGTAGGAAACTTACAAAATATCTTCATGGAACATGATCTTTACTTAATATTCCAATGATTTTTGGCATAAAATAAAAATTTAAATATAATTTTGCCCCATACAATGTATTTTTGGCTATTGCTACAAATATACCCCAGCGACAAGCACCAGCCCCCATTTAATCGCATGAGCTCAGACTACCTGCTTCACTTCCAATCAGTTAACTGAAGTAGTAAATGCTACACAGTGACAAGTGGCAACACTGGATTAATTTAACAATATATGTTTGAATCAGATACTGATTCTAAAGTGGAGGAAGAGCAAATTATACAGGTTTGTTGATGTATCAGAATCAATGCATTTTATGTATCACTGTAAATTATATCATTAGCGTTTGGTCTGAATACAATATCAATGTTACACATCCATGTTTCTGTTCACTATCTCAGATAGCTCAGATATGAAAAGCAAGTTTACGGGATCGGTTCCATGTTAGTGACAGTAGGAAAGGGGCTGTTGGTACACCACAGTTTTAAAGACAAAATACTATAATTTACTATACTATACTATAATACTATAATACAAAATATATAATTTGCACATGCTTTGACTTTAAGCATATTAATAAGACAAGACAGACATGTAAACAACATTAAAATCTTGATTTATCACCACATGGGATCTTTAAAAATCATTCTAAATGTAAAAGAATAGCAGAGGCCACACCACAACTATATTGATAATGGCACAGAGGAACAATACAGTTTTTTTCCAGCTGATGAACTAAAACATTGACAGCCAGTCAGATTCCAACCTGCTTTAAAGGGGTCATATGATGCCCATTTTCCACAAGTTGATATGATTCTTTAGGGTCTTAATGAAAAGTCTGTAACATAGTTTGGTTAAAATTTCTCAATAGTAGTGTAAAAACACCTTTTTTACCCTGTCAAAAACAGCTCTTTTCAGATCAAGCCGTTTTTGTAGCATTTCCCTTTAAATGTTAATGAGCTCTGCTGACCCCGCCCCTCTCTTATGAGCTGCTCTCAGAGAGACTGTTTACTTTAGCCACATTCATCTTAATACTTGCTAATTAGCACATTATTAGGAAAGGCGATTTGCAAAGATTCATTACAATAAAAATTTAAATATAATTTTGCCCCATACAATGTATTTTTGGCTATTGCTACAAATATACTACTACTTATGACTGGTTTTGTGGTCCAGGGTCACATATACGATATGCAAATAAGCACCAGCCCCCATTTAATCACATGAGCTCAGACTACCTGCTTCACTTCCAATCAGTTAACTGAAGTAGTAAATGCTACACAATGACAAGTGGCAACACTGGATTAATTTAACAATATATGTTTGAATCAGAAACTGATTCTAAAGTGGAGGAAGAGCAAATTATACAGGTTTGTTGATGTATCAGAATCAATGCATTTTATGTATCACTGTAAATTTTATCATTAGCGTTTGGTCTGAATACAATATCAATGTTACACATCCACTTGCACATTTAAAGCGGCAGATGACAGAACTGCAGCACTGTTCTGCATTGTGTGTACGCTAATATCGTTATAGTTATCTTTATAGTTACAGTTCTTGGTTTTAACGGGCCTAAACACTTATTGTTTTGACATTACAGTCACTGTCGAATGTGCCATTTCAAATAAAGTTAAAGGGGTCATAGGATGCTACATGCACTTTTACAAGTTGTTTGAACTGAAATGTGTGTTGGCAGTGTGTGTACACAACCACCCTATAATGATAAAAATCCACCCGGTGTTTTTTTTTATCTGGTTAAATGTTTTCCCCTTTCTCAAATCGAGCCGATCTCAGATCCTAAGCGATCTGTTGTTGGATGTAATAATGAACATAGCAGTCGTCATTTACTCCCGACATCTGAGCTGTCTGAGCTGC